GTGGTGACCTCGGTCCCTCTCTCGCCTGACAACTTGCTTGCATGAGAACTACATGCCACTGGCAGCTGTGGATGGAGATGGGCTGGGCAGGTGGTTACGGTGGTGGTCACACCCCAGGCACAGAGATTACCTTTGCCTTCAGCTAGTCCTGCCCGTGGTTCCTGTGCATCTGGCTTCACACACCTTGGACAGAAGCATAATCCCCCTTAAGAGAACACGTGATGCCGAAACCAGTGTGGCTCAGTGGACAGAGCATCGAAAGGTCCCAGGTTCGATTCTGGTCAAGGGCATGTACCTTGGTTGCAGGCACATACCCAGCGAGGAGTGCACAGGAGGCAGCTGGTCGATGTTTCTAGCTCTCTATCCTTTTCCCTTCTTCTTTGTAAAAAAATCAATAAAAATATATATTTTTTAAAAGAGAGAACACGTGAACTATCCTGCCATTCCACCTCCGCCTTGCTTTCTCCCCCTTGCATGTAATCGTCCTGAAATCCCTCCTCAAGTCCCAGCGCATGAGAGGAACTGCTCACCGTCATTCTCCAGAGCACTGGAGACCTGGCTGCCCGGCCGCTGCCCAGCTGGGCTGACAAGCTCTGATAAAAAGCATCTGGCTGTTTCTTAGGTCAACACAGCGGAGAGCACAGGTACCGTCCCTCGACGACCATCAAACAGGAACAAACACGTCCAGGGCAGAGCGGAGGCGCCGGGAAACGGGCTTTCAGCCCAGCGCTGAACTCGGAGGTGATGAGCTCAGCCACTGAACACATCCCCCGCGTGTGGCAGGCTCCGGTCACCATCAAAGCCCGGTCCTCTTCCGCTCCGGCTCCTGGAGGGAGCCTGCAGGGCCCTGGGCCTCGCACCCTGGCTTCCTGGGCACACGGTACTCCGCTGCTGGAGGATCCCTGAACCTGGGCGAGGCCCACAGGGTGGCTCCGGAGGAATCTGCCGCCCTCGTGTGGCCATCCTGGCTCAGAGCGCACGGGAGGACACAGGCAGACGGAGAGGCCAAAGCCGTTAAGGGCAGCTGAACCGAAAGCCTCCGGGCGAAAGCAGCAGCCTTCCTGGGGCTGCCTCCAACCCTTTGGTCTCAGGACCCCTTTCCACGCAGAAAATCACTGAGGCCCCAGGAGGCTGGGCTCCGTGGATAGAGCGAAGGCCCGCGGACTGAAGGATCCCAGGTTTGAGGCTGGTCAAGGGCACGTACCTGGGCTGGGAAGCGGGCGGGAGTCAACCCATCCATGTGTCTCACATCGATGTTTCTCTCTGTGCCTCTCCCCCACCCTTCCACTCTCTCTTTAAAAATCAATGGAAAAATACCCTCAGGCGAGGATTAGCAAACAAAATGAAATTATTGAGGGCCCCAAAGACTTTTGTTATGTGGATTGTCGTACATTTAAAAATAGATATATTTTGATTTTTTTACAGAGAGGAAGGGAGAGAGAGGAATAGAGAGTTAGAAACATCGATGAGAGCGAAACATCAACCAGCTGCCTTTTGCACACCCCCTACTGGGGATGTGCCCGCAACCAAGGTACATGCCCTTGACCGGAATCGAACCTGGGACCTTTCAGTCCGCAGACGGATGCTCTATCCACTGAGCCACACCGGTATCGGGTGTCGTACATTTTTTCATACCTGGGTACCTGGTGTGAATGAAGGCCCCCTCCATTTGCAGCGTGGCCCTGGGGTCTGGAAGGTCAGTGTCCCCTCGGGTGCCCAGGCCTCAGGCACAGGATCTCTGACCAGCCCCCTGCTGCTACGGGGTTTCCCAGCGCAGTCCCCATGGGTCTGACCTGTGCTTCTGGAAACGAAACATTCTTTCAGGGAGCCAGACCCCAAGGCCTGGAGACAGTCTTCTCACTTCCGTATCTCCTCGCGGCCTGGAATACACCCTGATCGGTAAGTTCCCTGTACAAATCCGTCCACTTCCTCCCGAGGTCAAAGCAGACCGCGCCCTGGAGTCTGTGGTGACAACGGAGTCCACTCTGCAGTGCCAGTCCCTCCACACGCTCAGAGCACAGGCCCTGGACCCCATGTGGGAAACAAAACTGGGTCCCTACTAGAAATAATACATAAAGTTTCAGATGGATTAAAATCTTAACAAGAAAATTAAAGTTTTTAATAAATCTTTTTTTAATATATATTTTTATTGATTTTTTACAGAGAGGGAGATAGAGAGCTAGAAACATCGATGATAGAGAAACATCGACCAGCTGCCTCTTGCACACCCTCTACCAGGGATGTGCCCGCAACCAAGGTACATGCCCTTGACCGGAATCGAACCTGGGACCTTTCAGTCCGCAGACTGACGCTCTACTGCTGAGCCAAACCGGTTTCGGCAGAAAATTAAAGTTTTAGCTTTTAGAAAGCATCGAGGGAAGGGGAGACCTCTGAAAGGAGACTCAAAGGCACAGCGTACAGGTGAAGGGCTGACACACTGAAAATACTAACATTTAGAAATCACGGTGGCACCGTAAGGTCCTCACGGGAGGGGAGACAAACCACAGCCTGGGGAGAATATCCGAAACGGACCTGATTGGCCAGAGATTAGCATCGCTCCAGAGTATGTATCTTAAAGGCCTAAATATTCATACTAATGAAAGGGTAATATGCTAATTAGCTGGGAGACCTTATGGACATCCTTCTGGACAAAGCCACGGTGGCAGGGCTGAGGCAGAAACAGTTAGGGGCAATCAGGCCAGGAGGGGAGGGCAGGTGGGGGTGATCACACAGCGGAGGGAGGGGGGTAGTTGGGGGCGAGTAGACCGTCAGGAGGGGGGGCCAACTGAGGGCAAACAGGCTGGCAGGCACAGTGCTTAGGGGTAATCATGTAGGCAGGCAGGTGGCGGTTAGGAGCCAGTGGTCCCGGATTGTGAGAGGGATGTCTGACTGCCAGATCAGGCCTAAACCAGCCATCAGACATCCCTCAAGGGGTCCCAGATTGGAGAGGGTGCAGGCTGAGCTGAGGGACTACCTCCCCCCCATGTACAAATTTCGTGCACCTGGCCTCTAGTCCATAAATAAAAGGCCAACAGTCCAAATGTAAAATGGGCAAGAGACAGGAACAGGTAACCTACAAGGAAACATGCACAGCCCAGACATCTAAAAAGAGGCTTAACTTCCTTTATAAACTAAAACCACACCTTGACCTGGTAACACAACGGTTCTTACCCTTCGGTCTTCTCACATTTACTTGTTTCCCATCTCAACACTTCCCATAACCCTTCATTCTGGGACCACCATCTCCCTCCCTCACGGCCCAGCTGCTTCGGACGGCCCTGCCTTCTGCCCCACCCCCGAGGGCACCTGTCCGGCTCTCAGGGGGGAGCCTAACAACCCGAACTCCGTCAGGTCTCCTCCGGAGCCCCCGCTGCAGCTCCCCCCAGATACACGTGGCTCATGGAATGTCTCCGTGCTCCTTCCCCTCACCTCCCGGGAGCTCACGCCAGGGGCCGGCCCCACCTGAGCGCGGCCCTGCCTGCACTGGATGCCGCCCCCCAGCTCAGCTTCCCGCTGCAGGCCCCGGAGTTCCACCTCCGGCCCAGGGGAGAGAAGGCTCCCGACAGACATCAGAACACATAGTTCCCACTCCTCTCATGGCCAGCAGCCAGCTCTCAGCACCCACTGTTTCTGGGACGAGGACAGAGTCTGACCGGAGCGCACACAGCGCCTGCGTTTCCGCCGTGGGTGACCTGGGGCCGGACCGCCGTGGGGGCCTGACCGCCGTGGGGGCCTGACCGCCGTGGGCGCGGGGCCTGACCGCCGTGGGTGACCTGGGGCCTGACCGCCGTGGGCGCAGGGCCTGACCGCTGTGGGGGCCGGACCGCCGTGGGCGCGGGGCCTGACCGCCGTGGGGGCGAGGCCTGACCGCCGTGGGTGCGGGGCTGCTCTGTGCAGCTCCAAGGTCCTCGCAACCGTGGACCCTTTAGAGAAAGGAGAGCAACCTCTATCCCCCACCAGGCCGAGGCGGACGGCGGGCGCGTTTCTGCACACGCTGGCACCGAGGACACTTGCTCTGTTTCGGCAACTGCCTTGCAGGTTTCCGGCCACATGCACTGTGGAAGCCAGCACAAGGCCCGGGCTCGGCACTGGCAGCTGGCACAGCTTTGAGCTGCCAGCCCCCGGGCCTCGGGCACTCTGCACACCTTTGCTTAGGGAATTTTCTTGTTAAAGAAACAACTGCAGAGATGGAGGTGGAGGTGGGGGGCAAGTCTCTCTCTCTTTTTAATGTTTTTTTGATTTCAGAGAGAGAGAGAGGGAGAGACAGAAAGGTCAACAATAGAAACATCAGCGGCCTCCTGCACCCTCCTCCTGGGGAAAGAGCCACAAACCCGGGCGTGGGCCCCGAGGGACGGAACCGAGGCCTGGTTCACAGGGCGCTCAGCCAGAGCCACTGGCCGGCCCGTCTCTCCTCCGCAACGGGGTCTCCTTCGTGTGCCAGACCGGGCCCAGGAGTGGCCGCGAGGTGCGGGGACGAGGCCACGCTGACGCACAGACCGCACTGACACTCCACCAGGATAATCTTTTATTGAGGTTACTATTAAGCACTTCCCAGCGGCACCACTGCAACACGATCAGGTCTTGGTTTCTAAGGTGATAAAACGCGGCGTCCCGGAGAGCACCGGAAGGTTCCTCGCAGAGAAATGGGCATTTCCCTCGCCGGAGGGGCAGGCTGGGCCGCCCTGCGGGAGCCGGGCCTGCTGTGCGCGCGCCTCGCTTCCAGCCGCCTCCTTCCCGCCTCCGCCCGACGCCCGGCTCCGAGGCCCGGCCCCTCGGCCCCTCGGCTGGACGCGTCTCCGGTCGGGCGGGCGCTCGGGCGGCCGAGCTCGGTCTGGTGGCTGACGGGCACCGAGAGGGGTTCCCCAGGAGGGAACACGGTGCTTCGTTCTCGCCTGCGTTTCCTCGGGAACGGAGTCCTGCGGAGCCGTGGCGCTGGGTGAGGGCTGCACGGCGGCGGCGGCGGCGGCGGCGGCGGCGGCGGCGGCGGCAGGGCCGCGGCCTCAGATGTGGAGCTGGTGCGAGGCCAGCGTGTCCATGAAGGGCCGCACCAGGTTGTCGGTGGAGAAGTAGAAGATGAGGCCGAAGGCGATGGAGATGGGCAGGGCGGGCAGCGCCTTCTTGAACACGGCGAGCAGCAGGAGGGTCAGGCACAGGCCCTGCGGACACGTGGGTGGGGTGGGGGGCACACGGGGAGGAAGGGGGGCAGTTAGACGGCCCGGCCTGGGCGCAGGGCTAGTCAAGGACACGCACGGCCTCCCGGGTCCTCCTGACAGCTGAGGCCGAGGGCAGTTCCCCGAAACTCCTGCTCAGCGGGCGATCCCCAAAGTGGCTCCTGACTGAGTATGGCGCTGCCGCCAGACCACCTGCCGCCTGCTCACAGCGGGGACACGAAGGGGGAAAAGCAGGCGCCCCTCGGGACACAAGTTTCTAGAATCCGATGGGCTCGACGGAGTGCCGGCACCGCGGGAATCAGAGATGGCGTGTGCCTCCCCCTCGGTGCTGCCCTGCCCCGTCCCGCCTGGCAGATGCAGGGTGTGGGGGGAGCAGAGCCAGTGTGCCTGCTGCCCTGGGAGGGGCAGGGCGTCAGGCCCCCAGGGCAGGGGGCGGGGGTCCAGCACCCTCCCTGATACTCTGTGGACACAAACCCCCAGAGAACTGGACCTGAGCCGTAACGTGCCGCGTGGTTTCGGGGTTCGCCCCTCAGAGACTCTGCCCTGAGATGCAGCCATCGTAGCCCGTGTCCCCCAGACGTCCATCTGGCCACCCTAAGTGACTACAGGAACCTCCCAACCTCACTGCTGGGGCTCGAAGTGATGGGGTTCCCTCCTGGGCCTGGGGGACCCTGGATTGAGGACGGCGCGGTGTCGGGGTGGCACGGAGGGAACGCACCTGCCCGGGAGTCCGAGACCCGAGCTCATGGCGTGGGCACCCAGGCTGCGCCGTGTCCTCTGCCAGGACCCTCAGGCCCTGACCCAGCGCTCAGCTCCCGGGCCCCCTGCGCGCCTGCTCAGCGCATCCGAGCTCCGGCCCTCCCCCGTCCCCCCTCACCCCCTGCACCGCCCTGCGTCTCGTGGACCCCGGAGCCTGTGCCCCTCGGTCTCGTGCTGAGGGTCTCGGGAACCCTGCCCGGCCCATCACTGCGGCCTCCAGGGCCCACAGCCCCTGCGCCCGGGCCCCGGGAAGACCCAGGCCCGCTGCACTCACGATGAGGATGGCCACGAAGCAGGCCAGCGTGGTGTTCCAGTCGCCGCTGCCCGTGGCCGCCGCCTTGCCCACCAGCACGCTGTAGAAGATGAAGTCCCCGAGGCCCAGCTTCACGCCCCCTGTGCGGGCAAGACAGAGGCCGTCGTCCCGGGGGCCGCAGCCAGACGCGGGACCCCGCGAGGCCGGGTGCTCAGGCCCCGCTCCCCGGCCTCGGGGACGCGGACCGGCTGCGGGGAGGGGACGCAGCCAGCGGGAAAGGGGGACCCGGGCGGGCGGCCCGCAGTCTGGGCTGCGAAAAGCTGGCGTGTCTGAGAACTCAGGCGAAACTGCTGCTTAAAAAACAAAACCCTGGTGCTTGGCACTTTCTTAGAAAAATATCCAATACAACGCACTGTCCGGGGTGGGAGGGAGCCGAACGTCTATCTCAGGCTGCGTCTGAATTAAAGGCCCTTCGGGGACCTCACTTCACTGCGTGAGAGCACGCACACGCCTCGCGGTCCTCTGCAGACCTTCCCGAGACACGGGAAGCGTGCTGCAGGCAGCCCACCCTCCCTGAAAAGCGAAGGAGAGCTTCTGGGCTGCTTTCGCGTTGGCTTTTACACAACTGCCCTGGACACGCAGGACAACTGTCTTCACACAGACGGTGAGAACCTGTATCTACATGTAAAAGCCTAATAAGCCCCTCAAGAGTTCAACCGACCGGAGTTCAATCGCTCGCTATGACGTGTGCTGACCACCAGGGGGCGGCACAGAATGACGGAAGGCCCTGGCCAGCAGCCAGCAGCTGAGGAAGGGAGGCCCCGGGCAGCAGCCGACAACCACTAGGGACCCTAAGCATGCATGAATTTCGTGCACAGGGCCTCTGGTGTTTTTGTAATAAACTCGAGTCGAACTGCATCAAAAGGAACTGCTGGCCTCCTCTGCCCAACACCCTCCCATGCCCTCCTCCCCATGTCCTCCCCCCCCCACGCCCTCCTCCCTCCACCACGCCCTCCTCCCCTCCACCACGCCCTCCTCCCCTCCAGGCTCCGAACAGGCGGCTCTCCGCCTGGTCAGGGCAGGGTCTGTCCTGGCTGAGCTGAACCTGGCAGCTCGGCAGTCAGTCTCAGTCTCCCTCTCTGACCCCCAACCCCTGGGCAGGAACCCCTGGTGCCCCATCCCGTGTTCCCCTGCACAGCTCCCGCCCCCTCTGAGGGGTGAGTCTCAGAGCCGGGCCCTGCACGGGGCAGGCAGGCACAGGCCGGGGCTCGGTGACCGGGGCCCAATACCTGCTTCAGCCCGTGGGAAAGCCGCAGCCTGCCAACAGGGCCCATTCTCGCGGTTTCTCCTGGACGCCTGCCAGGCCACCCCTCACCCCTCCTCCCGGACTCCCCAGCTCCCCCGCCCGGGGCCCCCAGACCGTCTGGACACGGGCGCCTTACTTTCCTCCTCTTCCTCCAGCTCCTCCCCGGGGGAGCCAGGCAGGGGGGGCGCGAGGACTTCCGGGTACGAGGGCTCCCCCAAACTGTCACAGGAGTCTTCTTCTGGGTCCAGAGAGCGCCGGCATCCCCGCGGGCGGAGGGAGAGACAGAAGCTGGTCAGAGGCTTCTCTGGAGCTCAGGTCCCTGCTCGCCCCCCATCCCAGGGCTGAGTCAGAGGGAGGGGCTGGGGCCGAGGACCGGAGGCCACCCTCGCTCCATCCCCAAGATGCCAGGGGGCTGGTCTTCCCTTCTGCCCCCCGAGCGGGGAGCAGTGAGGGGCCGCCCCAGGGCCCTGGGCGACCAGCACCCAGCACTCACCCATCTCTGGGTCGTACGGGAGCTGAAGGGCCCCCTGAGAGGAGGGGTCCAGCTTGGCCATGCCCACCGTCCACACCATGGCGGCTGGGGAAGGAGAGGAGGGTCACGCCTCAGGCGGGGCTAACGGGCTTCCGGGGCCTAGCGGCAGGGGCCCACCTGTGTCCCCAGAAAATCGCTATGCCCCCAGGTAGGAGGCCGCTGGGTGGGGAGGGGGTCGGTCCAGACTCCATGACTAGGTTCCAGGTTCAGGCAGACAATGTCTTTTCCTGTCTTTTCCCTCCTCGCAGAAACAGTGGTAACAATACCAGCGACAACTGGATGAACTAATGGTGCTTTTGTTTATCGTGTAAAGAACATGTAACATACTAAGCCAAAGCGTCTTAGCCATCGTAAGTGTGCCGTGTGCCATGGGCCCCGCTAAGTCTGTGCACATTATCGTGGAGCAGATCTCCACGCTCCCAACTCACAGCCTGAAACTTCACCCCCGTGACCAAGCCCTGCCCCCTCACTCCCCAGACCTCCCCAGATGCCCGCCCCCGGCCCTTCCACCTCCTGTCTCTGAGTCGGACACCTCACACACGTGGAATCTGCAGTGTCGGCCTCGTGGTGACTGGCTTAATCTGCTGAGCATGTCCTCAGGTTCATGCGTGTAGCACATCAGAACAGCGTTCCTTTCTAAGTATCCCACTGTGTCACTGCCACGTTTGGTCTATCGGCCACCCATCAGCGACACCCGGCTGCTGCCAGCCCTTGGCTGCTGCGAACAATGCTGCTACGAACATGGCTGCGCGCGCACACACACACACCACACACACACGCTCGCACACACACACACACTCGCACACACACTCGCGCACACACACACACGCGCACACACACACCACACACACACACACACACACACTCGCACACACACACACACGCACACACACACACACACGCACGCACACACACACATACACACACACCACACACACACACGCTCGCACACACACTCGCACACACACACGCTCGCACACACGCACACACACCACACACACACACACGCTCGCACACACAAACACACACACACCACACACATACACACACACCACACACACACGCTCGCACACACGCACACACACACACACACCACACACACGCGCGCGCTTGCACACACAAACACACACACACCACACACATACACACACACACTCGCACACACACACACCACACACACACACACACACACTCGCACACACACACACACGCACGCACGCACACACACACACGCACACACACACGCACACACACACACGCACACGCACACACACACGCACGCCCAGGACCTGCTTTCAGCCCTCGGGGCCCTGTCCAGAGGGGCTGCCGCATCACGCGGCTAACCGTGTTCTCTGGCCGGAAACTCCCTCCGGACTCCCGTCCAGCTCTGCAGCCGCATGCGCTGGGGCAACTCGCACTCAGTATGCCCCCGCTGCTCCCACAACCGCCAGTGCCATCTTCTTGTTGCTCAGGCCCCAAACACCGCCGTCACCCGTGACTGCCTCCTATCACATCCCAGCCACCCGCGATCTTGCCAATTCTGCTCTGAAAGGCTCCCGAGTCCAACCACGTCCTAACGGCACAGCAGCTGGCGCGAGCCAAACCCCCCCTCCTCTCCTGGGCTCTCTTCAGCCTCTCATCCAGACCCGTGTCAGCGGGGGAGGGGGCACTCACAGGAGTAAATCAGGGCAGGAAATATGGGCTCGTTCCGCTCCTGGGCGGTCTCCACCAGCATCCGCAGCGGCCCCTTGGGGCAGAGCACAGCCATGAGATCTGCAAAAACAAAGTTAAAGAGGAGCTTTATCCCCAGGCTCCCCAAAGAGAGGAGCCAGCCCCTTAGTATGGGGGGGGGGGCACAGTCCGAGTGTGAGGCTCCAGGATGGGCCTGCCGTCCTGTCACCCCCCCCCCGCCCCCAGCCCAGCCGCCCCCTGCCCTGGGGGAGCCCCCTGCCCTGGGGAGCCCCCTGCCCTGACGGAGCCCCCTGCCCTGGGGAGCCCCCTGCCCTGACGGAGCCCCCTGCCCTGGCGGAGCCCGCAGCCTGGGAGGCTGATGCAGGAAGAGGAGGAGCCTGGAGCCCACTCCTCTGGGCCCTGAAACGGAAGAAAGAGAACTGGGCACAGCCCCCACCCTGATGCTAATGAGACCGTGGCTATTGGGCATGGCACCGTCATTACAGGTGCCATGCCCAATCCGTGCCCAGCGACTGGCAGTGCGTCGGTGTTTGCTATTAACAAACCGCGTCAACAATCGCGAGTCCACGCAGGAGTCTCAGGAGGGAGGCCCCGGCCGTGGGGAGGGACGGGGGCCTGTCCATCCCGGCCACACGTGTGCGGCAGCGAGGCTGGGCCCGCCGCTGACCCCCTCCGCCGCCAGGCTCTCCCGCGGGTGCCCACGTACCGTACACGGAGATGGCGCCCAGGATGACCCAGGCGGACCACTCGGGCAGGTACTTGATGAAGACCAGGGCCATGAGTGCGCTGACCATGATGAGGTAGGCCTGCTGCAGCACCAGCGGGCCCTTCCAGTGCACGCACACCATGCCCACCGCCCCGAAGTTCCACACCACCAGCAGCAGCGTGGGGTAGTCCATGGCCACGTTGTAGGTCTTGAGCACCTCCCTGCGGGGCCAAGGCAAGCCGGGCGGGCACTCAGCGGAGACAGCCCCGACGGTGCCACCTCTCAGCCTCCGTCCCCGCCTGGGCTCCAGCTCTGGTCACTGACCAGCACCCCCGCCCACCCGTGAGCCCCGCACGAACCCAGGGAATGACTTCCGGAACGAGGGGGGACCGATGGCTCATGCTGGGCATGGCTCACGTGGGCACGGCACACGTGGGCACAACCGGAGCCCCGGCCCCAGACATTCCAAGAGTGCCCTCCCCGCTCCCTCCTGTCTCTGTGCCCCAGGCCAGGCGGACATCCCAAACCAGGGGCAATGGAGACCCTTTCACCATGAACTAGGAGAGCCCAGGTCCCGCCAAAGCAGAGAATATAAACTCTGAGCTGGCCTACCCTCCTTGAGCTCAGAGAGCCTCGTCTCTGATGGCTCTGCTCATTTGTTTTAAATCAGGAACCACAAGGAGACGCATGGCCACCATGGAGACCACTCCCGCGTCAGAACAAGGCCTGCAGGCCTGGCCAGTGCGGCTCAGTGGCTGAGCATCGCCCTATGACCAGGAGTCCATGATTCGATTCCCGGTCAGGGCCTGGGCCCGGGTTTCAGGCTTGATCCCCAGGAGGGGCGTGCAGGAGGCAGCCGATCAATCATTCTCATCACCGATATTTCTCTTTCTCTTTCCTTCTCCCTTCCTCTCTGAAATCAGTAAAAATGTTTTTTTAAAAGGTCTGTGGAAGAGGGGCCGGCCTCGGAGCAGAGGCCCTGAGGAGGGAGCGGAGCCCCAGGGAGCCCTCCCCACCCAGGTCCTCAGGCCGCTCGGGCCCCAGGGGAGGGGCCCGGGACTGGCTGATCCCGCTGCCACTCACCCGAGGTAGATGTAGGTGAAGAGGAACAGCAGCATCAGCGAGGACATGATCAGCCAGCCGTGGATGAACTGGCAGAGAAGGGCAGCGTGAGCACAGGGCCCAGCCCCGCAGCCTCAGGCCCGCACTGACAGCCACCCCGGAACCTCCCCTCAGGCTCCTCTGGAGGGCCGGGGCGGGGGACATTTCCTGGGCAAACAGGGCACCACATTCAAGGTCTCCCCACAGGTGTATGGAGACCAACTGCTTTCGGTCTGACCCCTGGACCTGGATCCCCCCAAAGGAGATGCTGGTGCCCTGGCACGCCGGGTGCTGGAGGGAATGCCAGCAAAGTCTGCCCACGTGTGCTGCCTTCAGGTGAGGCCATGAGGCGACACGCAGATATGGTGACTGGCGGCGGCACGGGCTCTGAGGACACCAGCGCAGGCTGGTCCCGGAAGCCATGGGAGATGCAGACGAGAGGGCAGACAGGCCCTTGAAGAGGCGTCTTCTGGACAGAGTGGACCACGGAGCCCCTTCCCACCTGAGGGCTGCAAACACTCCTCTCCTTGCCAAGCTGGGGCGGGGGAGGAGGGGGCTCTTCCTAAGCCAGTCCTGGGCCCGGCACAGGGCACAGGGCACAGGGCACAGGGTGATGCTCTTTCCAGCCTCCCCACCTGTAGACAGACCCAGCTCGGATACGGCACCTCGGTCAGGACCTGGTCCCCCAGGAGGGAGGTGTGCCTTGCTCAGGGCCTGGCTGCCTCTGGAAATGCCGACACTTTACCACAGCCACCCCGCACACTGGCATCACTGGGCGTCCTGGGGCCTACAGGTAAACCCCAGTGCAGGGCCCAGGACCGCCCACCTGATGCCTCCCGACCACAGCCGCGCTGGCTTCCCCTCCCGGCTCCCAGCTGGGTCTCCGTGCGGGATCCTCTGCTCCGGACAAGCTGCCTCTCCCCTCTCCCACCGTCCGCCGCCTCCCCACCCAACCTACAGCTGTCTCACTGCACAGGTCATTACTCATTGCTGGACCTCAGCGCCGAGCACTTCCTGTCAGCCCGCCCTTGACGCACCCGTGTCTCTTCAGGCTGCACCTCCCACTCCTCCACCCACCCCAGCAGACAGCACAGCCTGAGGGCATGCTCACGCCCTGTAGGAGCGGTTTAAGGTAGATGATGCCTAGTTTAACTTCTTCCTGGTCCTCAGGGCATCAGAGCTCTGAGAAGCCTGGCACCGAGTCTACAGACGAGGGCATCTGGGGGCGATGCCCAGGATGTGGGCCAGGGACTCTACCAGCCCGGGGCCACTCACAGCTGGGGGAGGGGGAGGGGCCTCCCACCCAGGCCTGGAGCCCCAGCACAGCGTCTGCCGTCCCTGCCTAAAGGGGAACGGAGAGTAGAAGTAAGCCTGGAGGGGAAGCATGGGTAACGGGAGCCTAAAATAGAACACGCATGCCTTCGGAAGGAGAAGCAAACTAAAATACCCTTGAGTAGGAGAAGTGACATTCGATGTTGCAAGGAGGGACTGGTTCAAGGAGGGACTGGGACAGAGCAGAGGATAACCCACGGCAGGGGCAGGAGAGGCGGTAAGAGCACCAAAAACCAGTCTGCTGTGCAGGAAAAAGGAACTCTGGTTGTTTTAAGACCAATGGTTGCAGCCTAAGAGGTCCCGCGAGGGGGTGGGGCGGTAGTGGGGGACGGGGGCCCGGAGCGAGGGACAGTCCCGAGGGCGGTGAGCGGGCGGCTCACCTTGTAGCAGCGGTACTTGTAGAGCACGACCAGGAAGATGGTCATGACCACGATGACACTGAGCATGATGAGGGTGTTGAGCACGGAGTTGAGCAGGCGCTGGCCCACCGAGGGCGTGTCTTCGGTGAAGGGCGTGTAGATGCTGAGGAGAAGGCAGGGCTCGGTGCCCATCCTGTGTGCCCCCGGGCCCTCCATCTCCCCCGAAGGAGCCCTGGACGCCTGCCTGGGGGAGTGCTGTGGGCCGTCCCACGTGCTGCCCTGCCTTCCAACCCATTGCCTGGCCCCGCCCTCAGCCCGAGGACCGGGCCCAGACCAGGGTGCCCGGACCAGGGTGCGGACTCTGGGTCCCAGCTCCTCTCTGCCGCGGGCACGCAGCTGCGGTGCCATGGCCGGGTGGCCCCCGCCCCGCCCGCCCCGGCCACTCACAGCTGCCCGCTCTTCTCCGTGTAGAAGCGCACGGACTTGATGGTGGCCACCACCACGACCATGCACAGAGTGACGGGCACGAAGAGCATGATCACGTGCTTCGCCCCGTACTTGAGGGTCAGCTCCTCCTCCAGGCCCGGCAGCCGCCCGGGCACCCCGCTGCAGACGTAGCGGTCAGGGTCCTCCTCCTGGTCCTCCCCGGGGTCCCGGCTTCCCTGTGGGAACACACGGTCAGGCCAGTAGGCCCAGGTGGCCGACCTCGCGGTGCCGGGCGAGGAGGAGGGAAGGAGGCGTGAGGGCTGCTTCCCGAGGTGAGGGCAGCCACGGCCGTGACCCAGGTGCGGGGCTGGGAACGCCAGCACACACCGGAGTGTGAGCACAGCGAGAGCTCAGAGTGTGTGTGACAGCCGGAGCTCAGTGTGTGTGTGACAGCGAGAGCTCAGTGTGTGTGACAGCCGGAGCTCAGAGTGTGTGTGACAGCGAGAGCTCAGTGTGTGTGACAGCCGGAGCTCAGAGTGTGTGAGCACAGCCGGAGCTCAGAGTGTGTGTGACAGCGAGAGCTTAGAGTGTGTGTGACAGCCGGAGCTCAGAGTGTGTGTGACAGCCGGAGCTCAGAGTGTGTGTGACAGCCGGAGCTCAGTGTGTGTGACAGCCGGAGCTCAGAGTGTGTGTGACAGCCGGAGCTCAGAGTGTGTGTGACAGCCGGAGCTCAGAGTGTGTGACAGCCGGAGCTCAGAGTATGAGCGACAGCCGGAGCTCAGAGTGTGTGTGACAGCTGGAGCTCAAAGTGTGTGTGACAGCGAGAGCTCAGGGTGTGTGTGACAGCGAGAGCTCAGTGTGTGTGACAGCGAGAGCTCAGGGTGTGTGTGACAGCTGGAGCTCAGTGTGTGTGACAGCCGGAGCTCAGAGTGTGTGTGACAGCCGGAGCTCAGAGTGTGTGACAGCCGGAGCTCAGTGTATGTGTGACAGCCGGAGCTCAGAGTGTGTGACAGCCGGAGCTCAGTGTATGTGTGACAGCCGGAGCTCAGAGTGTGTGTGACAGCCGGAGCTCAGAGTGTGTGACAGCCGGAGCTCAGGTTGTGTGTGACAGCCGGAGCTCAGAGTGTGTGACAGCCGGAGCTCAGGGTGTGTGTGACAGCCGGAGCTCAGTGTGTGTGACAGCGAGAGCTCAGAGTGTGTGTGACAGCCGGAGCTCAGGTTGTGTGTGACAGCCGGAGCTCAGGGTGTGTGACAGCCGGAGCTCAGAGTGTGTGTGACAGCCGGAGCTCAGGGTGTGTGACAGCCGGAGCTCAGAGTGTGTGTGAGCACAGCCAGAGCTCAGAGTGTGTGATAGCCGGAGCTCAGTGTGTGTGAACACAGCTGGAGCTCACAGTGTGTGTGACAGCTAGAGCTGTGTGTGTATGTGACAGCGAGAGCTCAGAGAGTGGAGGACAGCTGGAGCCGGCACTCCCCACAGAGTGTGCAGGAGCGAGGCCACTGGGTGGGCTCATCCACAGAGCTCTCCCGCTCAGCACGGGCACAGCACGCCCCTCAGGGCCAGATGACAGGAAAACAGCAAACTTTTTTTTTTTTTTTTTAAAGTTTTGCTGTTCTTTTTTCTTTTTATTTCTGGTTAATCCTCACCTGGGGACATTTTCCCATTGGTTTTTTAGAAAGAATGGGAGAAGGGGATAGAAACATCGATGTGAAGTATACACATCAATTGTGTGCCTCCCAAAAGCACCCCGACCAGGCCAAGGGATACCGAGGTACATGTCCTTGACTGGAATCGACTAAAGGGTCCTGGGACTAAAGCTCTATCCACTGAGCCAAACCGGCTAGGTTGAGCAAACATTTTTGGTTCACAAATCACAATCTAGAATGGTCAGCACACATAGGGACGGACTTTCTTGGATTATAAGTAAGACACTGGGAATGCGCAGAGGGATAGAGAGCCAGGCGTCTGGGAGGTCCTGGGACGGGACGCTGGGAGAGCAAAGGAGTGAGCAGCGGGGAAGGAGTGGGCGGGACGCCGGCCACAGGCAGGCACAAATGAATCCCCAGAACGGCCGCTTTGGAATTGTGGCAACTCGGGGCCATGGGCTGCTCCGGTAATTACATAACAGCCGAAGCATGAGGCAAATGAAGCAAAAGTAAAAGGCGACCACTGCTTCGGTAGGTGCTGCGCAGAGATTCCCAGCTAGATCCTCGGCTGAGAACAGAAGAAACTGTTCATGGACAGGAAGCGAAGTAACTAAAATGCACAAAAACTCCAGGCGCCGAGAGGAAGCAACTCGCAAGGACAGGCTGAGGAGTGGCTGCGTGGCCTTGGGCTGTGAGGTCTGGCGGGGCACAGAGGACAGAGGACAGAGGAAATGAGCAGGCGCGGGGCTGGCTGCAGAAAGAATCCTTCTCGCTCCCGAAGCTGCCCAAGTACAGAATGGGGAAACAAGGAGACTGTTTTCCCCGAGGGGGAGATGGCTTGGCTGGAGCCTCTCCTAGGACACCCCCACTCGTGACCTTGTAACCTCCTGCCCTGTGGCTGCAGAGACCCCCCTTCCTGCACGAACTGGCTGTCCCCCCACATTCCCTGTGCTGAGCCGCCCCCCAGTGATGTGTCAGGAGGCGGGGCCTCTGGGAGGGACTGTCATGAGTGGGGCCTCCTGAGCAGCATCAGGGCCTCATAAAGGGCCCTCCACCCGAGGACAGGCTGCCGAGGAGCTGGGAGGGGCCCCTGCAGACACCGGGATGCTGGGCTTAGCCTCCGGGACAGGGAGGGTTAAATGGGCATCTGCGCCATTTCTGTGACCGCAGCGGGAATGGAGTAAGACAGCCCCCGCTAAAAGCCGAACACGACTCGGGACCGCCCCGCTGGGTCACACGCTGCCATCTGCCAAAAGGCTGCCATCTGCCATCCTGGAGCCGGTCACTGTTCCCGCATCCAACTCACTCCCGCTCTCACCGGGAAGGTGGGTGAGGGCAGGGGCGGGCGGTCGCTCTAAAGCCCTCCCAGCACCCACCCACCCAGCCACCGCCTGCCAGTCCTCACGTTCACCCCGCCTCCGGCACTGGGCACGCCGGCTCCCACGTCGGTACAGGGACCCGGGCCGTTCCAGGCCTCCCGCTGGCGGGAACCTACCCGCTGGGCGGCATCCTCTGCGTCCTCGGGGCCCTGCCTGCCGTCCGGGCAGGAGCGCGGCACGGGGCTCTCGGCCGACATCAGGGACGTCCGCTCGTTGCAGGCGTCGTCCTCGCTGTCAGAGGCCATGAACGTGAGCATGGCCCTGCCGCTGGACGTCTGGGGAAGCAAATCAGGAGACTCACTGCCCTCCCGTGGAGGACCGAGGGGGGCGGCTCGGAGGCCTGGACGCAGGCCCTGCCTCGCAGCAGCCCAGTGACCGCTGTAAAGCACAGGCCCCACAGCCGCCATGGAGGCTGCCACGCAGAGGGCACTGCCCAGGCCACGGGAGGCAGCCACGCCACCGGCAGCAGCTCACCCACTCAAGCAACAAGCAGCTGCTGAGCCCCTCTGGGTGCCAGCACTGTGCAGGGCTCGGGGCAGAGATGAGTTAGACACACGTCATCTTGAAGAAAACAAACAAAACCACCCAGCATGACAGCTTCATGATGCAGCTGCTCCCCACGTGGTGCAGAAGCACCGAGGAGGGACTGCACGAGAGGAGGCTGTTTTTCAGCGGAGACGACAGGGACTGATGGACGCAGCCTTTCCCGGAGGGAGGGAGGCACGGGGAAAGCCCAGGGCCTGGCACTGCGTGGGGCGCGGTGGGAAGGGTCTCCCGCTCTCTCCTCCCCCGAGGCAGGGACAGACCGACCAGCTCGGTGTTTGGGGATGTCGGTCTGGCCTCCGCCTGGAAGAGGTGGAGGGAAGGGGTTCGTTCCCCAGAAGGCATCAGCAGAGGATGCAGTGAGGGGACAGGCCCAGGAGAATCAGGACGGAAGCAGATCGGACCGGCTGTGGGCAGAACAGAGGAGAGAGTCTGGGGGGCCAGGCTGGAGGAAGACAGGGAAGGGAGATGGTCTCAGGAAAAAATGGAATTCGGTCCAGGAGCCCGAGTGTCTGTGGGTTAAAGCGAGAGGCATCCAGGAGGGGCTGAGTGCGGGGAGGGAGATGCCAGTCATGAGTTAGAAGTGAGACCACGTGAGGTGAACATGAGCGCGTGTGTGTGCATGTGTTGGTGGGGAGGAGTACAGCTGAGGCAGGGCCTATGGGAAGGCCCAGGCTGCTCGCTGGCGAGGCAGACCGGGCTCATCCTGGCCAGCGTCCAGGCCCTGCGCTCCGAGGCACGGGAAGCCCGGGTGGCTCTGTGGCGGGTGTCAGACCCCCTCTGGGCCGCCTGCCCGGGACCCAGACGCCCCATCCTGGGCCCAGCTCAGAACTGCAAGTGTCCAGGCAAGTCCGCCTCCCCTCCATCGGCCTCCCCTCTCTCCCCCTATCTCTCCCCCCCCGCACCTCTCTTCCCTCTGCCTTGCCTGCCCCCCCCCCCGTGACACCCCCACTGCTCCGGCTCTGTGCTTGGTAAACGGGGGCGTGGCAGAAGGAAGGGGCCTTTCTCTGGAGACCCCTGTGTCTGCTCGGAGCAGGGCGGGCAGAGGAGCAGCTTTCAGACCAGAAAGCTGCGGGGCCAGCAGAGTTCCCAGGCTGGGAAGGTCCCCCCCCCGCCATGCCCCCCGTGGAGGAGGGTGTGGAACACCGGGACTCCAACACCTCTCAACACCCCTAGTACAAACTGGACCCACCTTTCTTTCTTTTTAAAAAATATGTTTGTGTTGCTTTTAGAGGGAGAGGAAGGAAGAGGGAGAGAAACATGGATAGGCCACTTCCTGCCCGCCCCTTACTGGGAACAGAGCGGTTGGGGGGACTCTGCTTCCCGGTCTCGGAGGCCCTTGGGGGGGGGGGGTCGCCCCAAGCCTGCAGCTAAACCGCCTCCTGGCGCATGCCTGTCCACCTCGGCAGCACATGCCTGTCCACCTCAGCAGCACATGCCTGTCCACCTCAGCAGCACATGCCTGTCCACCTCAGCAGCACATGCCTGTCCACCTCAGCAGCATGCGCGTCCCCACGGAGGCTGGCTCATGGGCGGGGAGGTGGGGGGGGGGAGATGGTGACTCTCCTACCACTGGGGCCATTCCTGCCCTCCATTCTCTGCGGGCCAGGACGGTGCAGGGGGCGATGGGGTGGGGTGTGCCCTGCACGAGACGGTTCATAGTTCTGGAAACCGAAAGCTGCCTGGGATTAGGATGCAAAAGCAACCATCCGACGTGGCCACTGCTCACCCGTCCGCCCAGCAGCGAACGGGCCAGGAACGCTGGCGCAGCAAACCGGGGCTCTGGCCCAGAGAATCCCATGGAAACCCGGCGACCCCGTTTCTCCAACCTTCTTTCCGGTTCAGAGAAGGGGAATGTCCGACCTTACAATGGAAGGCGGGTGCCTTGGTAGGAAACGGATTTGAAAATGCCGTGAACCCCGGTGCCTCCCGGGAAAAGGAGGAGCTGCAGGCCGGAGCCACTGGGTGTTCCTGCGGAGGTCTGGGTCCCGGTCACAGCATCGGCCTGTGTTTGCTCGTCTGCAGCCCAGCAGACGGGCCCCTCTCCGGGGTCACACCCCACAGGGGTCCCATGACGCCCGTGGAGTCCCCAGTCTCCCTGATACTGGGGAAGGGTTTGCTAAGGGAGGAAATTCCCTTGGAAATCTCTGCAGCTTCCCTGCCGTCTGTGTCCCGGCCTCTCGGGAGGGTCCCAGGCCACGTGGACCTTTTGTCAGACAAAGGGCACGTCCATGGGACCGCTGTCAGGGCCAGCAAGCACCTAACGGCCACCGAGTTGCACCCTATTTTACGGAAGCCCCGCGGGACAAAGAAGTCCCAAGGCCAAGAGCCCGCTACAATCCAGGTCCCCTCCTGCCCCGACCCGTGAGGGGCACGCACTGGGCGGCAGGGCCACGCTCACACCGCGTGGCTCTCCGCGCACACACCCACCTTTACCGGCCACGGCCTTTCCCACGGGCCCGTATGTGTCCTGTCCTTAACACACAGCTTCTCCGAACACCGACAAGAGGCCAGTGAACTGTAAATACTCACAGATCACCTGCCACCTTGCAAACCCGGGTCTCTCTCCTGGCCCCACCTCTCAAGCCCGGCCCAGGAGCCTCTCCCCCCCCCCCCTTCTCTTAGTGCTCCACGTGGGGCGGGTGTGTGTGTGGTGCCAACATGGGCATGGCACAGGGACGGGAGTGAGGGCACTGCTTCTCTGGGGCCATCAGAAGGGAGGTTGGAAAGGGGCCGCTGTGGTGCTGGTGAGATAACGGATGTGCACAGAATGCTACAGGGAAATGCCTGTGACTGGCTGTCAGCCCTGGACTGAGGGCTAATGGGCTTCTACAAAATATTGCCTGAAGTTTCTGGAATGCACACATATTACTTTTACTTTTATTTTATTATTTTTTTAATTAAATTTTATTTTTTTATTATCTGTGTACAAATTTTAACATTGTCCCCTCCCCTCACATACATACTCTCCCTCCCCATACTTTTATTTTAAAAAAGTCAGCGGGAAGGTGAGCACCCTTTCCATTTTTCTTCCATGTTCCAGACTATGCTGGCCAAGACAACCAAGCAATCCATGCTCCCAGGCAACGAGGAGGCGGGGAAAAATCGACTCCCACCCTGACATCGGTCTTGACTAAGGTCTGACGTGAGATTCCTCCTTTCCTCAGATTTTAACAAGGCACCCTGGCCGCCGGGCTGAAGCCCAGGCCAGCCCCGCAGCCCAGGTGAGAGCCTCCGGCCCTGGGGGTGGAGCGTGCCAGCCTGGAGCCCTAACTCTCCTCCCAGCCGCTCCCCCAGCTGCTAGAGCCTGAGAACAGGTGGAAAAAGTCGCAAAAATGTGTGTCCTAAGTCAGAACAACAGCTGAGCACCAGCCAGAGATGTCTTCAGTAGAACACACATGTGGCTTTGGTTTCTTTTTTAAAAGTTTATATATATAAATGTGTGTGTGTGTGTATATAATATATCTTTATTGATTTCAGAGAGGAAGGGGGAGAGAGAGGGAAAGAAAGAGAGAGAGAGAGAGAAACATCAATGATGAGGGAGAATCATTGATTGGCTGCCTCCTGCACAGCCACACTGTGGATGAAGCATTCAACCTGGGTGTCTGCCCTTCAGCAGATTCAAAACTGGAATCCTTCTGTCCACAGGCTGACACTCTATCCACTAAGCCAAAGCAGCCAGGACTAATATATATATATATATATATATATATATATATACACACACACACTATTTTATTATATTTTATATATATATTATATAATATATTATATATATATTAACTATTTTATTGACTTTTCACAGAGAGGAAAAGAGAGAGAGATAGAAAGTTAGAAACATCAATGAGAATCATCAACCAGCTGCCTCCTGCACACTCCCTACTGGAAATGTGCCCACAACCAAGGTACATGCTTCTGACCAGAATCAAACCCGGGACCCTTCAGTCTGCAGACCGACGCTCTATCCACTGAGCCACACCGGTTTTGGCTATATATATATATATATATATATATATATATATTTTTTTTTTTTTTTTTTTTTAAATTTATGTTTTGCTTGTCAGGTAGTCAGGAGACCACAGACTTTCCTGGCAGCAGGGCACGGGTACGGGAAACCTCCTTCCCAACACTCCAAAGATTAAGAAGACAGCTGGCTTGGATCAGCCACCGAAGCCACATGGCAGGGAAAGTCACTCAGCTCCCTGAATCTCGGTTTCCCCAGTAAAAATCATGGCTACTCTGGTAGAGCCGAAGCTCTTAAGATAACTGTGAACTCCTGTACAAAACGGCTTTTCACTGAATGGGACTGACTCAAAAAGTAAGGCATGTTAGGTTGTGGTCATCATCAGTAACTCGGAGAGACGGATGCCAAGATGGGCAGGGAGCGCGAATTGGGCAATACGCACGTATCGGGGAGCTGGCACCGGGGCCTGGGGAGCAGCCAGAGGCGCCGAGGCACGGTGACAGGTGTGGCACCTGCACTGGGCCTCCGGGCACGTGCGAGTGGCAGCCTGCTCTGCCCGGTCCTCACCTTCTCGGACAGGAACACTCATCCCCACACACACCCTCCAGGCCTGCGCTGGCACCCCAAAAGCCGGAAACAACCTCCATTCCACTCTGCGGGTCCTGGGAGCCCCCTCACCTGCGCGACACGTGAACCTGGCCAGCCTGCCCGCCTGAGGGTGGCGGAGGCTGCAGCCAGGATCCCCGCCAG